GTAATCTAAGCTGATCCAAGCCATCTTCCTCTGCGGCTTGCTTATTACTGTCACGGCGTACCACAAACAGCATCTGGAGGGTGGCAGGCTGCAGCCATGACGATAAAGCTGCGCTTCCGGGCCATGGTAGCCTGATCTGCGTGCCGCCAAGCCAGAATCTCATTAACCAGTAGCTACTACCAAACCATGCGCGGAGACCAGCGGTTTGTCTCCTTCCATCGATTGCTCCACAATTTCCAAGTTCCGCAAATCTTGCGCTATTAGTCTTTAAGCACTGACATGGGCTCACGGCTCACCTGGCTCTCGCCAGATTCAGGGCGAGCAACACAGCTGCTTTGGACAAGTTCCGACCTTCCAAACCGTCCTCCACCGGACGCTCCCCAAAGTCAACACAATCAATGACATGCGCAGCTGACGAGATTCAGCCGCTGTGCAGGAATCAAACTTGCGACCCCAAAAATGGGGCCGTCTCGCGGCCCCAGAAAAGGAGCCGCGAAATCCAGTCAACCTCCTCAACATATTGACTGGCAACCAGAGAATCCCAAAATCGAGGCCGCTTGGCGGCCCCTATTTTGGGGTCGCGAATTCCTCATTTGGGCCCAAGCCCAAGTCCGTGCGTTCCACACTGCTACATCAAGGCGACTCGCCCATAGGCAGGCATTCAGTGTGGAAAAGTCGTTCTCCAACCAGACAGCTTGCCTGTGGAAGTAATGCCACTCAAGTAAGCCAAAATTGCTGAGTTTGTTCGACCCCACATTTGGAGCCGCGTGTGCTGCAGTTGGTTCGCACCGAAGTGGACGTCGGCGGCACTGGTGCCGAACACGTTCCAGACAGCCAGAACACTTCTAGCTTTGAGCAGGCGGACTCTGGGACAAACAAGATCTGGTCCAAATAGGTCAATTTCGATACTTTCTCAGGCATAGGTACCTTCTAGGAGAACTCTCTAATCCAACGAAATCCGTAGCTCTCAGAAGTCCACTCACAAGAAAAACAGAGTGCCGACACTCGATCTTTGTCTTGAGCTAAAAACATTCGAAGTAAAAACGAAACGAGACAAAACGAACCTGATTCAAAAAGCGTTCTTCCATTTTCAGACAAAAAAACTTGCAGCATCTGTGTTGCGCAGAGATGTGGATTTGCTGAGCAACAAAGTCGGTTGGAGCGCCTGCTGGGAGCGATCTGTTTTTGGTCGGTTTATGACAGGGGATGCAAACATCCTGCGCAAAGACACGCGCAACCATGAAGCAAAAGATCCGATGTGACGATGGAACTGACTCAGAAAGCAAAGAAACAGAAGTAGAGATGCAATCTCCAACAGCAAGTGCAGTTCGGTCTTTTGGGCGCCACTCACTGGCCTAGCAACAGCAAATTGTGAAAAGTTTGCTCCTTTTAGGTGTGCCCTTAAGTACCAACATGCTCGTTTTTGCGCATGAGAAAAGGTTTCTTTCATCCTTTTTGCCTTGAACTGTTTTGTTTTTGGACTTGAACAGGCATTTGCATGGCGAACACATGTTTTAGCATTTTTGAACTTGTCTTGAAGAACATGATGAGCGTACAGCAAAAGCATCCTTGAAGAAGTGCGTGTTGCTCTGACTGCGCTGTTGCTGTTTTCCGCACCCTCGCTTCGCTCGTGCCGGTTGGAACAGGCCAAGGGACAGAGTTGCTGTACACTGCTGTTTGAGTGAGTACAGAAGTCCTGAGAAGTGTTTGCATGTCATTCCTTCTTTGTTTAGCAAAGTTGAGACGGAATTTGCTGCGCGAGACTCCGCAAGAGACCTTACTGAACACTTTGGTGTTTGGCTCAAGCGTGGAGTGAAAGAGACTTGCTCTGCGTTTTTCACATGGTAGCGGTTGGTCCAGGACCAGCTGCGGCAGCGCCTGAAGCGGCTGCTCAGCAGGGAGCGAATCCGTTTGCTCCTGTCCAAGGTCCGGCTCCTGCTCCTACGCAAGCACAGCCTTCTGTACCAGCGGCGGGTTTGCCGACTGGTGCTACTGTGCCTTCTGTGCAAAAGTCGAAAAAGCGTCGGCTCCACCTGTTCAGAGTCCGAAGGCTGGCTGCTGCTCCGAGTGGCAGCTCCGGTTCTGCAGGTTTTACGCCTGAAGCAGATGCCTGGATTCATGATGGAATTGCTTCGTCAGCAGAGAGAGATGCTGGCAATGAACCAGCAGCTCGTTGCGACGATGCTCCGGACAGCTGAAGCGGCCAAGCAGGCAGCAGAGGCAGCTAAGACTCGGGACCCCTTCCAGCCGAGCACTGCTCCCGCGAGCAGTTCTGCCGCCAGTTCGGGAGTTTCTCCGGCAGTTCCGTCTCCCTCTGGGTACTCTGGTGCTGGAGGCCGTGCAGAGAAGTATCTGCCGAACCTTCCGGTGATAGACCATCAAGGCATGGGGAAAGGGCGCATGAAGGAGGTAGAGACTTGGCACTCCTTTATCGAGACGCTGAGTTCCTGGCTTGCCCTGCAGGAAGAAGCATTTGTTCGGGAACTGCAGCTCTGTATCCCTGTGAAGAAGGAGATTGTGCAAGCTGACTTGAATCCCGAGACTGCCGCGCGTAGCTCCAAGCTGTTCTACTACTTGACGCAGTCCCTCGCCAAGTGGGAGCGGGGAAGCGAGCTCTTGAGGTCCTGCTCGAAGAGGCAGGGGCAGAGCGCCTGCGGCTACGAGGTGATTAGAACGATTACCTCTCAGTACTCCATCGTGTCGCGGATGGAAGCTGTCTTCGTGAGAGAACAGGCTTTGAAGTTGTACCAGCACGTTGGGCATCTGAAGAGGCCCACCGACTTGATTCGACATCTTGAGGATTCGTTTTCGAAGTCTGAAGCGAAGCTGAGCAACTTTCCGGAGCTTCTGTTGTCTGAGGCTGACCGCTGCTCTGTCCTGTTACAGAGCTTGGGTGCAGAAGTTCGTCAGTACGTGGTACTGCACGGGTCCAGCTCGAACTGGGAAGCTCTTCGAAGGACGCTGACTTACTACGAGGAGCAGTTGCGACTGTGTGAGGCCCCTGGGTCTTCGGGCCGAGCCTTGCAGGAGAAGCTTTGCGACTACTGCGGGAAGAAGGGACACACAGCCGACAAGTGTTGGCAGCGCCAAAAGGAAGAACGCGAGCGCGGTGGTGCTCCGAAGGGCAAAGGGAAAGGAGACAAAGGAAAGCCGAAAGGCAAAGGCGACCAGACTCCAAAGGGATCTGGCACGCCCCGTGGTTCCGAGAAGGGCAAGGGCGACAAAGGAAAAGGCGACAAAGGAAAGGACAAAGGCAAGAAGCAGAAGAAAAAGAAGAAGGGACAGCCTGGAAAGGGACGCTCCTTGACAGAGCCGGAGTCCGAGGCCGAGTCGGGAGGAAGCGCCACAGTGATGGCGATGAGGTTTTCCTGTCCTGGGCGTGGTTCTTCGGAGCCCTCTTCTGCGGAACGCCGTGTTCTGAGCAAGCCTGAGAGAACTGATCCGTCCGCCCTTGTAGTTCCGAAGCCGGGTTCAGGACCCGAAGGGTCGCCTGGGTCTGAGAGTCGAGGTTCTGAGTCTATGGGCTCCTTAGGATCCCGTGTTTTGAAGCACGGCGACGTAGCTCATGTCTGCAAGGCCCTCGAGACTACTCCTGGGGACCTGTGGCTAGTCGATAGTGGAGCCACCTGCCACATTGTTTCAGACAAACATCTCTCAGGATTTCGTGTTGTCAAGAAGTACGACCGAACGGCCAATCTGTTCAACGCCTCGGGTGGTGCGATCGTCGTGTCGGGTGTTGTCGACCTTGAGGTTCATTTTGGTGATGTTTTCCTGAGGTTGGAAGAGGTCTTGGTGGCGGATGTTGGGTTCAACGTTGTTTCGCCTTGGACCGGGTCGGAACGGGGCTGGAAAACCTATCTAGCCAAATCGGGATCACGATTGTACAAAGGAAACGGAAAGAAGAGCATCAAGCTGATGGGCGCTTCGCGCGCCTGGTGGGCTCTTAGCGGGAGGTCCAAGGGCCGGGGGAAAGAGAATTCTTCCAGACGCCCCCCGAAAGGGATCGAGGATATGGAGATAGATTCCTTGAAGGACCGCGACCTGCTAGGATCGAGCAAGGAGTCCACCGCAGGACCCCAGAAGCCTGGAGAAGGAATCCTGAAGAAAGGAAGAAAGACTTCGGAAGAAGACGAGTCTGGCCGCCACGCTTTGGCTGCCACTCCTTTTGGGTTTCTGCTTCGGGGTCTTAGGGCGGAAGTTGCTCCAACCAAGAGCGCCTGCACCACGGGAGATTGAGCTTTGTGATTTTCTAGAAGAGTCTAGTGACGTTAGGCATGGCACGGCGCTTGATTTTAGGAAACAGTTGCATGTTGGCATGTCGCTTGATTTTTGGAAACAGTCGCATGTTGGCATGGCTCTTGATTTCAGGAAACAGTCGCATGTTGGCATGGTGCTTTGCATGTTTTTGGCATGTTTTTCCATGGTTTTGCGATGGCATGTTTTCATGAGGGACATGGTTGTGCAAGCGCAGTGGGTTTTTGCTGCTGTGCTCAAGCGGGCTTTTACCCTTACAGCTTTTGCAGAAAGACTCGGCTTACGCCTCTTTTTCCTGCTATGGGAAACTATCTGGGCGGATCAAAGCCAGAATGCGAGTGCCGGTGCGAAGTGTGCGGAAAGCAGGGGTGCGTCAGGCGCAAACCTGCGCACACCCATCATTATTGCTGGGCCTGTATACAGCACTGGTCGGGGCTGCAATGGCTACGTGCCCACGACGAGGTTCCAGATTCGCAGTATTCTGAGAGCGATGCTGATGGTAGCATTGCAGCTGGTTGGGTCTTGCTCGATGGCAAGTGAAGAAGACAGACCCTTCAGCCACAAGAGGGTAGAAAAAGGGTTGCGAAAGCATTTGCCTGAGCTTAGGAAGCAGCGGCATGAGGCTAGGAAGCAACTGCGTGAGCCTAGGAAGCAACTGCGTGAGTCTAGGAAACAGCTGCGTGAACCTAGGAAACAGTGGCATGTTGGCATGCTTGGCTTGATCTTGCAAACGCTGATGTTGCCGAATGTTTGCGCTAGCACTGCGCACGATCCATCTGCAGCCGTTTTTCTCTTTGGTGAAGAGAGGTCTCCCTTTGGAGATCATAATGGACGGTGCCAGCGGGGACGAGTTTACCCCGAGTGTTGCTTTGAGCAGCCCAGGTTCTCCTGGGAAACCGCCTACTCCACCGGCTTTGGAGAGCCCCTCTTTCGAACTACCGGGGGTAGAGCCGCCGGGGGGGGGACCATCGTCGCCGGTGGCGGTCTATCCGTCGCCAGTGGTGACGGAAGCAGCGGAGAGCCCGTTGCAGGCGGATTCTACAGATGGCTCTTCGACGGCAAAGGCTGCTGGAAGCCCTGTGGAGGAGAATGCTGCGAGGAGTCCGCCGAAGGCGGATATTGCAGAGAGCCCTTTGTTCTCAGAGGAGAGCGAAGGGGAGGAGAGTTGGGGCACCCAGTGGCCGAATCCTTCGAAGCGCCTGCGCGCTGGGGGTCCTTCAGAGGTCGAGGGGCCTACGCCACCGCGGGTTGGAATCCCGGCGAATATCTCGCCGGGCTCGCTGAGCCCTCCGTTTGGTGCGGTTCAGATGGATGTGGGAACCCAACTCCTCCCGAGGGCGTTGAGGCTGGAGGCTGGCCGCAGATGGGAGCATGCGGAAACGCAGGGCCTTGCAAAGGTCTCGGTCGACTCTACCGAGCCTATTCCGTTGCTCTCGCACTTGGCGGGGATTCCAGCGAACATGAACGATGCCTACGATGCCCCATCCCTGGCGTTCTGTGCGCCAGGACACGCCTTGAGAGCACTTTGCTCTCCGGCGGCGACGATGCTTGGTCCGATAGGCCTGCCCGACCTAGAGCATCCAGCTGCTTGGCTACCAGCCACTCCAGTGATTCCTGTGACAGCGGCCTATCCAGAGGAGCCAGTGAGGGTTTCGAGGCCGAAGATGGTGGAATCGGAAGCCCAATGTATCATTGGGCAGCAGGAATGGGAGGTTTGGTTGGGACGTTGCCTAGAGGGCAAGAGCCTGGCAGAGTACGGGCTTCATATGGTAGACGTGGAGTTCGCTGTCAGGGTTACCGAACTTCTGGAGGCTCCACGGGCCGCTCGGGCAGCGTGGAAACGAAGGTTCCAGGAAACCAACCCTGTGTCTATGTTACACTATATCTTCCATTGTCGAGCTGTACTGCAAACCTATTTGGCTACGCCTGCTGGATACAAGGGACTGGTGGGAGGACGTTCGAGTCTGCTCGTAAAGGTGCCCCAGTCGGTCACCTCGCTCGAGCTCAAAACGGCTTGGGCGTACCTAGACTCGGGCATATATCTCCGTGTTGCCCGATACTACCGGCGAAAACGAGAGGAGGAGCGCCTCCACGAGGCCCGGGAATCCATGCGAGCGGCGAGGGCCAAATCGGCAGCGATCCCTCAGGGCGGTGTTGTGGACACCACCTCTTCGAGCTCCGACGAGGAGTCCTTGCTCCTTGGAGAAGGAGAAGTCACAGCGCTGAACAGGGCCCAGGGCCAAGAAGATTTATCCGACATCGCCATATGGCGCACGTTGGAAGAACTTACAGGCCAGAGGCTGTCCCAATTGGATGGCTATGTTGGGGCCGACGAGGGAAATCAGCCCAATCAGCCCGCCGAGGCGGGACAGCCGGCACCGCCGAGCCCGGCTTCCTCAATGCCACCTGGAGAACTGGTGGCTACTGCATTCAATCTCCCGAGGGTCTCAGCACCTACTCTTCCGGAGGGAATGCAAAGGGAGGACTATCAAAAGCACGGCGTGAACATCCCGCCGTCGGTTCCAAAAAGATCTCGGCTACCAACGCCTCCGAGAGCTCTGAGTGCGTCTGCGAGTGGTTCTGCCACCGGACAGACTGCCCAGGAACGGGCATTTGTGCTCAGCCCGCCATCTTTAAGCCACAGTCAAGTGACTGCGCAGGTGAGGCAAGCCCTCGAAGAGGGCCAGAGGCTTTTGGAGTGACTCTGCGGCGTTCCGCAACGAGGGGTAAACAGCACGCTTTGCAGCATCACACTTTGCAGCAGCACGTTTTGCAGCAGCACGTTTTGCAGCAGCATGTTGTGTGGCATGAGCGTTGGCATGGTCTGTGGCATGTTGCGTTTGCTCGAAAACCAACCCAACGTACCTCGAACCCTCCTACCTTCGAAACCCGCACCTCTAAAACCACGGCCGCTTTCAGGAATGGTTTCACGCCAGGACTGGATCTTGGTATCATCGTGCTCCTCCTGACGGTCTACAGCCTCTTCTTTGGTATAGCTTTGTGGGTTTCTTCAGGGTTACTTCGGTGTTTCAGGAAAGTGGTTTCGCGAAAGAGGCCACGGAAGTTCTACAGGGTGTTTTCTAGAAAACGCGGAAGCTACTTTAGGATTAAGCTGCGGGACCGTTGGGCCCGCGTCGAGGTGAGTAGGAAACTTCTTTTGAGTCGTGAGGTGAAAGGTTTTGGGCAGCGCGTTTGTGAGCATGTCTGTGAAAACTTGAAGTGCGCATGTTGCGGCATGTTTGGCATGCTTTGTGCCGGAGATGATGAACCGGCCCCGGCAAAGAAGACGGAACAAGTTGAGCACGTGCTCCGAGCCGTGCGCTTTAGAGGTTTACCGTCGCCGGGGACCGGTACACGTTCTGATCCGTTTGACTTAGACCCCGAACCTTCCTCTAGACCTGCTCCCGAAACTACCTCAAAACCTGAAGCTTCTAGTCGTAATCCTTTAGATCCTGAAGGAATCTTTGATGAGGACCCTGAACCGTTAGGATCTGCCCCTGGCTCTTCCAAGAAACCTCGAAAAGAAAAGGGTCCAACACCACCTGACGACCCGGTTGGACCTGAGGACGAGGAGGACCTGAGGGTTCCTCTTTCTTCTGTTTCGTTGTATAATCATCGGAGCCGAGGGCATTTTCCTTTTGATTCCAATTGTGAAGCGTGTTGTTCTTCGAAAGGGAGCGTTCCAGCGCGTCGCTTGAGGAGGAAGCTGCAGAGAGAGAACCAGACCATAGGTCTTGATTTCTTCTATTTCGGAAAACTGAGGGTACTCTTGATGATGCACCTCGGTTCTAAGTATACTGTCTCTCTTCCTGCGATGCACCTCGATGACCCTGACCTGCTCCACAACATCAACCGTGTGATTCGCGAAATGGGATTAGTCGGTAAAGCGGTTACATTTCGGATGGACCAAGAAGCGGCTCTTGGAGCCCTTGCCGAGAAACTCACCAAGTGCGATAGCAGCCCTGCCAGCGCAACTTTGATTGACGTGGTTCCGGGCTACAGGCCCCAGTCGAAGGGATCGATTGAGCGGCAGGTTGAAACTATGAAGCAGGGTTTCTGGTCTGTTTGGTTGGACCTGGAGAAAGAGGTTGCTAAGGTGAAGCAGGAAACGGAAGCCGTTGAGCTTGGGAAGTATCGGTTACCTTTGGGAGGTTTGCTTTGGCAAGCCTGTGTTTTCTATGTTGCTAGGTGCTATAACCTCTGGTGTACCAGCGTCGGGGATTCGAGCACTAGCATCGATCGACTGCATGAGGAGATTGTGAACCGGACTCGGACGAGACCGTTCGGGTGTCTGGTTCAAGCCCAGGTTAGTAAGTCCAAGGCGGATCATGATAAGTTCAGGGGCGCCCGGACCGTGAAAGCGGTTTATCTGGGACCGGTGCACGCCAAAGGTGGCGGCATCTTTGCCGTCCCTATCGGAAGCAGGGAAATAGATATATTCCCCGTCGCCAGAATGATTCAGGGAGGTGACATCTACGATGCCAAGACCCTGGAAGAGCTATCTTTAGCTAAGCCTCTTCTGCAGGACACTGAGGACCCCGAGAGGCCCATACTGTTTGATCCGTTGGAGGCTCCTGGTGATGATGATGCTCCTGATGAGGGGGCTGGTGTGGGAATGGATGAAGATGGTGATGAAGAGATGATTGAAGATTAGCTTGCTGACTATTCTCCTTCGGAAGCACCTGAGAACCAGGAGGTTGTGAACGATGAGGGGGATATGGAAATAGACTGGCTCACGAATCACTATCTTGAGTCCCTGTTTCGAGGGCCTGACCTGCGAGCCACCTCCACTGCAGTTGCAAAGTCGTTTGATTTGAAGTTTGGGGGTACGAAGATACGGTGTGCTGTTCCTCAGAACGCTGTGTCTGAGACTTCGGGAGAGAAGCTAGAACCTGATCTTCTTTACGCATCAATGAAGCTTGAGTTGGAAGAGTTGGAATCCTTCAAGGTTGGGGAAGTGATCCCTGAGCGCGAAGCTCGCCGTCTTGCTAAGGAAAACGGCAGGCGAGTCTTGACTAGCAGGTGGGTCAACACGGTCAAGAAGAAGGGATTGTATAGATCTAGGCTAGTCGTGCGGGATTATGCCTCTATGGGAGGCACCACCTTGAGTGAGGGAATCTACTCTCCTACTACTTCATTGGAGGGTCTGAGATTGCTTCTGTCAATGCTCTGCCGACGTGGCAGTGTGTTGTCCTGCGATGTCTCGGTAGCGTTCATGCATGCTCCCGTAGCGAGGGCAGAATTCGTAGAGTTGCCGAATAATGTGAGCACCCAGGGGACTGGGGAACGAGTTTTCGTCAAATTGCGTAAAGCGATGAACGGATTGCGGTCTGCTCCATTATCTTGGTATTGCGAGTTGGCTGAATACTTGCGCTCTCAGAACTTCGAAGCAAGTTTGGACCCCACTATATTCCGTCGTCTTACGAGGAAGGGTTTGACGATTGTGTTGTTTTATGTGGATGACTTGCTGAGCGAAGATGAAGCTGAGGGGCGCCGGTTCTACGAGGAGTTGCGTAAAAGATATAAACTGAAACTTACGGGCGAGTTGATTCAAGATTGCCCCGGGGAAGTCTCGTTTCTCGGTCGGCGGATCTTTCGCCGTAAGAAAGGGGAACGTACGGTGTATTTCGGGCTAGACGAACAGTACCTGAGTTCCTGTTGCGAGGAGTACGGAATCACCAAACCTGCACCAAAGCTCCCTTCCCTTGAACGCCGCTATGCTGAGTTGCTGAAGAAAGGCCAGACTGAGCTGATCAGTCCAGCTGCTCACGAGAGGTACAGAAGGACTCTGGGCCGTTTGGCCTGGGCGGCTCTGTCACGACCAGACCTGCAGTTTGTGTGTGGGTTTCTGGGCCGCCACCAAGCAGCTCCTGACGAGGCTGCCGAGACCTGTATGAGGGATGTCCTTCGTTGGGTCAAGGGTCTTCCGCACAAGGTCCAGAGGTTTCCGAGTAAGAGGGAGATCTTGGAAGATGATGCGGACCCCGCCTCTGTATCTTGTTTTACGGACGCTAGCTGGAGTCTGAATTCGGTAAGCGGCGGGATCATTACTCATTACGTGGGAGAACTGTTCCCTGAAAAGCTTCAGCAGGAAACAAACGACTACCGCACTCTCCAGTGCGGAAGCAGAACTCGCTGCACTCACAGAGGTTGCTCGTGAAGGGTTGTACATTGCTTTGCTTGTGGAGACCATCCGCGAGGGTATGCCGAAAGACAGGGAAACCGGTTATTATGTTCTTAAGGGATATTCTGATTCCGAATCGGCGGTTTGTATATCGAAGATGCAGACCCTCCTGAGGAAAGTGAGGCACATCGAACTGCGTGCCGCATTCCTTCAGGAGCTGGTGGCCAGGGGTCGTTTTACTATAGAACACATACCGGGAGTGATAAACCCTGCGGACGCCCTCACGAAAAGCCCCACTAACGAAAGTTTGGCTAGCTTGTACGATGCCTCTGGCCTTGTAGATGAACCGAAGGCCTGGGAGAGTGAGCCTACTGAGGTGCACGTGTCTTTTGAAGAGCCCAATGAAAACGAACGTTTTACTCCGTCTGTTCCGCCTTCCTGGAAAGCCGCTGCTTTGAAGCTAGCTCGTGGTGAAGCTAAGTACGTAGTGGTTGAACTGTGTTGTGAAGAAGGAAGTGCGTTGTCCAAAGCCTGCTCGAAGGTCCCCGAGATCGCCTACTTTGGGGTGACTAAGGAAGTTGATCTTCTGAGCTATAATGGCTTGTGTCTTCTGAGAGAGGTTTTCGGAGTCGTAGCTGAAGGTGAGGTCAAGGTGTATGCTCACTTGTCTACTCCGTGCTCTGCTGGGTGTGGTTTAAGGCACCTGAGGTTTAAGAAGGGAGGAAAGGCCCTGGAGAAGTGGAGAGCGGCTCTGGCCGTTCACAAGAGGTCCTGGAAAAGGATCGAGAAGCTGTTGGAGCCTTACGTGGGCTCCCCGAACCTTCTGCTTTCTCACGAGTGGCCTGAGAGGTCAGGACTGTGGGATGAGACTGTGTTTAAGAGGGTTTCTAAGAAGCTTCGTTTGGATCAGGGTTGCCTTGTGGATGGTTGTTGCTTTGAAAAGGGTGACCAACGACCTTGGAAAAGATGGTGGTTTGTGTCTAACCGCACAGAGTTTGTGTGGGGACTTTCGTCTCAGTGCTCTGAGGGGCACGGCCACTACTACCTTCCTCTTCCTGAGTCAGGTGTGTATCCAGCGGGTTTAGGATTCGCTCTCTTGAAGAACGCGAAGAAGACTTTTGAGGAGAAGTGAAGAGGACTCTCGGGCATGAGGGGGTGTGAAAAGTTTGCTCCTGGCTCAAGGTCTGGCTCGAGTGACCGCAGTGGTCGGAGAAGTAGTTGTCTGCAAACAGTCCTGGGCTCTAACTGTGTGCTGAAGAGACCCCAAACAGGTGAATCCCAGGCTTTGTAGCTGTGCTTCTTCGGGCCATCACTCCCACTTGCCTGTTCCCACCGGTAAGGGTTCAGCCCTCGGGGGACCAATCCACCTCACGAAGGGGATACGTCCACCCAAGGGACTTGCCAGCTCCCACCGGAAAGGGCTCGGCCCTCGGGGGAACTGTCCACCGCGCCAAGGGGGTACGTCCCCCTGTGGTGGGTGGTAGAGCAACGCCAGACGCGGACCCACCCTACGAGGGGGGACATTGTGGCTCAAGTTTGGGGTGCTCGCCCTTCTGTCTTCACGGTCAAAAGCCACGG